CTTGGCCGGACAGAGATCCTGTGTGGAGACCAATGGGGCTGGCTGTAAACCTGGAGTTGTTATCAGTTCTCCTGTGTGGGGAAATTATCAGTCTGGTTCCCAGGATAGTGGAGTGGGTGGCTCCTCCCCCAGACCTGTCACCGAGGGCTCCTTGAGACTGTTCAAATCTGTAATTTTGGCCTCTGCTTTTGTTCCTCGGTTAAGCTCCAAATGCAGGGTGTGGTGGCATGCTGTGGGTGGGACAGGCTGTGCCACTTAAGGCATTGTTTTTTTTCTTTTCCTGCCCTGTGGCTGCTGGGGTCCTATGACCAAATGCTCCTGGCTGCTGTTTTTCCAAGTATCATATCCTCAGGAAAGAATTTAAAATAAGAAGGGAAGGAAGAATCACTCCTAATAGTGTTTTACTTCATAATATCCAATTTCTATTTGGATGCTGCAATTTAATTCTAGATGAGGTTAACTGATTTCTTAACAAGAATTTTCTTTTTAATATTTTATCAAGGTCACGTTTTTGGAGCACTTCATACTCTAAACCAGATCTGGTTGCTTGACACCAACTTGGTGTGTCTGTTTATGTAGGCATCCTTATTTGCCCTCAGTACCCTGACAGACTGAATATCAGTATCTGGAAACACAATCTAGGTCAGCAGTCGCCATCTTGTGGTCTGGGGACCACTGGTGGTCCATGAGAAAATTTTGGTGATCCACAGAAAAATTTGGACTTTATTTGCATTTTTAAAAAAACACTTGAATATTTTCAAAGAGTGCATGAAAATATGCAAAAGCAAGTAATTGCTCTAACAAAAATGACTGTTGGAGATAAATCCTCATTAAAAGCTTCTTATCTGATAGCACTTCAGATCTCGAAAAATAAAAAGCCGTATATGATTGGAGAAGAATTAATTCAGCCTTGCATGTTACAAGCCTGGGAAGAGGTTTTGGGAAGGCAGGCTGTCCAGACGCTGAAAGCAATTCCTATGTCTGTTAACACTGTCAAATGCAGAATCGAAGACATGGCTGAAGATACTGAAAATCAAGTTATAAAAATGGTGAAAAACTCACCATTTTATTCAATTCAGCTTGACGAATCAATGGTGAAAGTAACAAGGCGCTTTGTTATGTGTGGAGAGCTGCAGGAAGAACTACTTTGTTGGCTCAGCTTGCCGGTGGAACAACTAGCTCTGGGATTTCTGAAACAGATTAATAGTTATTTCCTGGAACTCGGAATTGAATGGGAAGAATGTACAGACGGTGCCGCAAACATGACTGACATCTTTCAGGAATTGTTGCAAAGGTGAAAAATGTTGGCCACTCTGACATTTTGTCTACACACTGCATTATACATTGTGAGCAATTTGCGGCGAAAAAAATTTCCCCAGAACTACACGAGGTATCATCAGATGTTATTAAAATTATAAGTGAAATTCAACAGAAAGCACTCAGTTCTCAAATATTTGAGGCGCTTTGCGAAGAAGTGGGTTCCTAGTATAGTCACCTTCACGCTGAGGAGAGACGGCTGTCGAGGGGCAAGATACTAACCCAACTGTTCGCCCTGCGCGAAGAGGTAAAAATATCTTCCCAAGGTAAATTCCAGTCATTCTTATCAAGACCCCATTTTTGGATCTCCATTAAAAGTGAATACCCATTGCTGAGTGAAAAAGCAATGAATATTTTGATTCAATTTTCAACAATATATTTGTGCGAAAAAAACATTTTCATCTGTCACAGCAATTAAAACTCAGTACCGGTCTCGGTTTGAAATAAATACGGCTCTCCGTCTTGCAGTAACATCATTGGAGCCAAAAATCCATAAACTTATTTCAAGCAAACAGGAGCAAATATCACACTCTAAAAATGTGTAATACTTAAGCTTCAATTATTTTGTAAAAATTAATATTTTAATAAATTTGTTACAATTAAACAACCTTTGATTTTGTTATAATTAAATAAGTATTTATAATGTTGTTATATCAAATAGGTACATTTCATATTAATAAAATGGAAGTGCTCTGATCATTATTTTACAAATGTATTTTATCTCTTTTTAAAAAATCATACTAGTGGCCTGTGAGATTTAAAATTACGAATTTAGTGGTCCGTGAGGTCCAAAAGTTTGGCGACCGCTGATCTAGGTATTTTCTGATTATGCCAATGATAGTATTTACAATATTTTATGTTGAGTGATAATAACTATGTAAATTTCCATTAAAAGCTGCAATAGTCATAGTTATTTTATATCTAATGATAAATTCAAGAAAAAGTAGTTTTTTAAATGTTTTAATTTTCATCTTTTATTCATTCAAAAAATACTTTTAAGCACTTAGTGTCAAACGTTTTATAATGTGCTGAGGAAGTAGTGGTGAGCCGAGCAGACCAGTGTCTATTCTCAATGTGCTTCAACTTTTAGGGCACTCGTAATAAAACCAAGGTATTTTTATTTCAGATTTTCAGGTTGTTTGACTTGACCGTATTATTTCTCTCTGATTGGCAGCACACTTTGCTATATCTCTTGGAGGCTTCATTTATTTAATCAGCTACTTTCCAGCTCCCAGGATCTCTTCAAGTTACGCACAGATGACACTCATCAAGAAGCTGGCTTTTTCCCTCAGCTCAAATGTTGTCATGGCCCTGGGAACCAAGTACCTTGTCAGGGCAGAGACAGACAGTGAGTGGTAACCTTGTACACTTCGCCGCGTTCTCATAGGGTATCACAGTTTTAATATTACTGACACTAAAAAAATTCACACTACTTTATACTGTTGCCTTTAGTGCATGAGTTTGCACATTCCCTCCATAAATTTACTCAGGTCTTTTAAAAATTTTAAATGTCTTTATTGATTGCAGAGAGAGGAAGGGACAGGGAGAGAAGGATAGAAACATCAATTATGACAGAATATCATTGACGGGTTGCCTCCTACATTGCCTACTGCAGATCCAGCCCCAACCTGGGCATGTGCCCTGACTGGGAATCAAACTGTGACCTCCTGTTTTATAGGTCGATGCTCAACCACTGAGCAACACTGGCCGGGCCTCAGGTCTGTTAGGGTTAGGGTTAGGGTTTATTTTGATAGAGACATGCTGAATACAAAGGGCTGAAATAAATGAGTCATCATTAACATAAAATAATAGAACATTTTAATAAAAATTAATATTTTTTCTTGAACATTAACTTAGCAGACACTGAATATCTGCACAACTTTAATAAGCGTAACACAAATAAACCTAATTTTCTTGTTCTCCGAAAGTGAAATATTTCCTGTCTTGCCCACCTCACAAGTCAGTCCAAGACTAATGACATGGCAATCAGCTGCTAAAATATTCGCTGCTGGTATTAGTGGAGAGAAATGGTGTGCCTGCACGTAAGGCGCGTAAGGAAAATGAATGAAACATAATTGTAGTAATCAGTCATTAGCGAACGTTGTAGTTCGTTATTAATAATTATGTATAACAGGATATTGTAAAAATTAAGTTATGAAATTTTTGTTAAAACATTTCTTACATACCATTATATTGGCTGGGTTGCAAAAATATTCGTTGTGGGCCACATGCAGCTCGCAGGCTGTGAGTTTGACATGCTTGGTCTAAACCTATAGCTCTGCTTATTTTTTGTAAAACTCATTTTCCTGACTTTTTAGTATATTTTATTTTTGTTTAATTTATTACTGATTGTCTTTGTCATAGTAGGAAGCATATTACATGATTACTTGCTCAGATGTCCTAAATTCTAACAGCATAAGAAAGTAGCTGAATATAATAGTAATCTCTAGAGAACATTAACTTTTTTCACTCTTTCATTATGATACACATGAATAACTTTGTGTCAGTTGCCACCTAAATTTAATGTCTCCTGTTACCTCTTAGAAATTGGAATTAAATGGAGTAACGTCTTCTCACCAAATACGGTGGAGAACTTTGTCTTTGCCTATATACTGGGAATATTTTTACTTGATGCTGTTTTGTACGGCCTTGTGGCTTGGTACATAGAAGCCGTCTTTCCCGGAGAGTATGGTGTGCCCAAGCCATGGAACTTCTTTTTGCTGGTGAGTTGTACTGCTTCTGTTATTGAGAGAGGCCACAGTCCTATGGACATGATCTGTAATTTATATAAAAGGCAGCAGTAGTTAATTTTGCCCTGTCTATAATTGAATCAATAGGTCAGGTGAAAGAATCATTCTAATTACTTCAGGCATATGAATTCACTAACCTTTCCCTAATACACTATAAAGCCTCTACTATATATGTAATCTGTATTTCATGGCCTGCCATCCAAAACTTTAATAATCCATCACTTTTGCAGGCTAGTGTTTCATAAGGGATTGGACGCCAGCATAACAGAGTTAACATACGGTGGCGTCTCCGGGTACTAACACGGGGAAGTTTCGTTATGTTCCATTTCTTGCTTGGCACTCACCACGTTTGGTTACCCACACTCTTCACAGCCAGAGCCACAGCAAAATGGGCAGCATGTCTCCCTTCTTTTTTCCCCTTATTATTACTGGCTTCTGTGTTGCTAAGAGGAGAGATGGCCGAGTGATAGGATATGTGACCTCATGTTGCAGTGATTTCCTTTTGTTTCTCTCAGATGGTTATGATTAAATAGAGTCATCTCTTTTTATGCCTTGGGGGTTCAAATTATAGCCAGTTAGTTCTAAAACTTAATCCCAAGCAATGTTCTGCCCATCTCAACATAAAGGGTAGCAGGCTAACTGACTTTCTACTGTGTTTTCTTCAGTGGTTTTTTGCAATGATTACATTTTATTCTCGTCTTAGCCCTCTTACTGGTTTGGGGAAAAACCAAAGACAACAAATGAATCAAGGCAATTTTACAAGACAATTGAAACCAAGTATTTTGAAGCTGAACCTACTGATTTGGCGGCAGGTATCCAGCTCCAACATTTGTGCAAGGTATTGTTTCACACATCTCTTTTCTTGATGAAACTGATGCTTAGTTTACAATTCATTGTCAATGTTTTTGTTATTGGAAATACCAAGAAACAGATCACATGATAATAAAAGAGGGCATTCTGCTTACTTCCTTTGAGAAAGATATAAATGAAATTTATACAAGATATAATAAAATTTTCTCCTTCCTCCAGAATAGTATCAGGCTTTCTATAAACTATAACTGTGGTCTTCTATGAATATACTCATTTTAAAATGTAGAGTCTAGAAAAGTGATTTTCAACTGGTGTGCCACAGTGTTTTAAAATGTGATTATTTAAGGGCACTAATCTCTTTTTTCTGAGATTGTCAAAATAAAAATGACAACAGCCAACACAAAAATAGCCATCCAGTGTGAATGAATCAAAATTATACCAATTTTTATCAGATCAGCAAGAAATATATTTTTTGGTGTGCCACAGAAATTTTAGTAATTAGTTTGTGCATGCCACGAGATGAAAAGGGTGAAAATCACTGGTCTAGAACATTAGTTTCTGTTCACAATGTTTTGCACTTGTCTATCTGTACTCTCCTCTGTCAGGGAAGGAAGGGATTCTTGTATCTCTCAATCTATCTGGATCAATTGCAGGCATGTAGCATTCAGGTATCCTGTGTACTAACTGGCAATGCATTGCCTCTTGAAGGTCTACCTACCTTGATTTGAGTTCCTAACCCTACAGCTTTGGTAATCACAGATCCTTCCATGCAAATTCAGGTTAATTTTGGAGGTGTTTCTACTCCAGTGTGCTATATGCAGGTCTCTTGGTTCTGTAAGCCAAATACAAAACTCGTGTTTTGCTCCTCAGGATTGCTTTTGGCTATTTGGGGTTTTTTTGTGGTTCATACAAATCTGGTCATTGTTTGTTCTGTTTCTTTTTTAAAATGCCATTGCAGTTTTGATGGGATTCCATTAAATCTGTATATTGTTTTGAGTAATATGGACATTTTAACTATCTTGATTCTTCCAATCCATGAACATGGAATATCTATTCATTTCTCTGTATCTTTTTCAATTGCTTTTAATAATGTCATGTCGTTTTCAATGCATACATCTTTCACATACTTTGTCACAGTATTTTATTCTTTTTGTTTCAATTATAAAATAAATTTTTTCTATTTCCTCTTCTGAAATTTCATTGTTAGTATGTAGGAATTCAATGTGGTTTTGTATATTTATTTTGTATTCTACAACATTACTGTATTTGTTTATTTTTTCTAATAGTTTTTTGGTGGAGTCTTTAGGCTTTCTATATACAGAATCATGTCATCTGCAAAAAGTGACACTTTTACTTCTTTATTCCCAACTTGGATGCCTTTTATATCTTTCTCTTGCTTGAGTATATCTTTCTGATTGCTCTGGCTAGGCCCTCCAGTACTATGTTTAAGAGTGGACAGACTTGTCTTGTTCCTGATCTTAGAGAAAAAAGCTTTCAATGTTTCACTATGAAGTATATTAGCTGAGGGTTTGTCATATATGGCCTTTATTATGTTGAGGTACTTTACTTCTATACTCATTTTATTGAATGTTTTAATAATGAATGGATGCTGTATCTTGTCAAATGCTTTTTCTACATCTATTGATATGATCATATGATTTTATCCTTTATTTTGTTAATGTGGTGTATTACATTGATTAATTTGTGTATGTTGAACTATCCTTGCCTCCTTCAACTGAACCCCTCTTAATCATGATGTATTATCTTTTTAAAGTATTATTGAATTCAATTTGCTAGTATTTTGTTTAGCATTTTTACATCTGTATTTATGAGAGATATTAGTCTATAGTTTTCTTTTGTTATTGCTACATTTGCCAGTTTGGTCTTAAGGTTATGATGGCCTCATAAAATGTGTTGGGAAGTGTTGCCTGTCTTTTAGTTGTTTGGAAGAATTTGAGAAGGACAGGTATTAAATCTTCTTTCTCTGAAAATATGGCTACTGTGGATGCTGGCCACCCTCCCAACAATAACCTCAGCTGAACAGTCACCTCACACGAAATGAGGCCCATTTTCTTGTGGGATTGTCTTTGTTGCGGCTATACTACAAGCCAACTCTTCTCTGTTCGCGCACAGGTGCTGATCTCAAGAGCATTCCTACACACCAATTTCTGTCTTACATACACTTCCTGGATGCTAACTCCTATATTAAGGTGTACTTTCCAGAAAACCTGATTGGTGATTGTCTGTACCTGAGTGAACTGAAAAAGCAGACGACAAGATGAGAGGTAGACTAAAGTACAGTGGGGCCTTGACTTACGAGTGTCCCGACTAACGAGTTTTTTGAGATACCAGCTGTTTCTCGGCTGATTTTTTGCATTGAGTTGATAGAATAATTTGAGTAAACGAGCACCTTAACGAGCTCAGTCTCGGAACGAAATAAACTCGTAAGTCAAGGCCCCACTGTATAAAGAAGCAGTACAATGTCCACACGTGGTGAATTGGGGTGGTATTCAAGGGAAAAGAAATTTTCCTTTGGTGTCATGTTTCAAGTGTTTGAAAAAAAATGTGGGGAAAGTAATTATAGGGATTATGGAAGTGGATGGATATTGTTGGGTGAACTGATACACTGGAGATGGAAAATGAAAGACAGAATGTGATTACCCATTAGAGGCTAGCTGAAATCCAGTGAGATTACCAGGAAGCATATGACAATATTTTCCTCTCCAGCAACCAAAGAGCATAAGAGCTGAGAACATTGCCCTATACTGAAACATAGGAAGAGCAGGGCTCTAGAGAAGGTTAAATTCCTAATTAAGCAGGTCTGTCATCCTAGGATGGGGATGGGGGGGCGATCTTTCTTGGGAAGGAATATAACATGGATACATAGGATAGGAAATGTAAGATGCAAAAATCTTGAGTTCCAATTTCCCCTGAACCCTCAGCCTGCCAAAATGGCTCACTCCCCCCATTTAGGGGCAAGTATTTCTTTCTCTCTTCCTTGAAGATGATACAGTAGCCTCTGCCCCACAAGACAATCTACACCTCCTTCTGGAAACTAGAAATATAACTTGGGTGATGTCACAAAAGGCGGTAGACAGCCTCTAAGAGGACCTTCAGTGACCCACATCTCTTGATTTTCATGTCATTGAGTAGGACTGGCCTGTAGAACTAATAAAAACTGCACAAGTGACAGACTGCCTCCAGGGCTAAGTCACAGAAGGGGAAGTCAGATTCTAACTTATGAGGATACTCAAGCAGTCACCTAAATGACTGAAGAGAGTCTCACATGGGATGAAATGACTCCTTCTCCCAGCAACTAGTACCGACTGTCGGCCTTTTGAGTAAGCTACTTTAAAGTGGACCCTCCCATCTTGATCAAGCTTTTAGATGACTATAGCCCTTGCTAACATTTTAAATACAAAATCATGAGACAAAGCTGCCCAGTTCAGCATTCCTGAGGCCAGAAACTATGAGAAAATTACATATTTATTGTTGCTTCAAGCCACTTTGTTCTGGGTCATTTATTACTCATCAATAAACTTTAAATAGATTTGGCACCTGGAAGTAGGATGCTGCCATAACAAGTAACTAATAATGTGGGAGTAGTTTTGGGATTGGAAAGTGAGGAAAGCTGGAAGAACCTTGAAGAGAGTTTCTGGTGGAGCTTAAAGGGCCTAGAGTAGATTGTTAACAAAAGCCAAATGGTCTTGGAGGTGGCTGCCACTGAAGGCTTAACCAGTGGTTTTCAACCTTCTGGCCCTTTAAATATAGTTCCTCATGTTGTGACCCAACCATAAAATTATTTTCGTTGCTACTTCATAATGTAATGTTGCTACTGTTATGAATCGTAATGTAAATATCTGATATGCAGGTTGGCCTTAGGCGACTCCTGTGACTGCCAAAGGGGTTGCGACCCACAGGTTGAGAACCGCTGGCTTAAGTGGAAGTGAGGAACTGCTGTTTAAACTGGAGGAAAGAATATTCCTATTATATAACAACTAGTGGCCCGGTGCACAAATTCTTACACATTGAAAGGAAATTAATTAGAAGAAATATTTTAATATTGCTATTCACCTTTTCTCTATAATAGAAGTGTCAGAGGTGAAAGAAAAATAGTAAAATGTACATGAAAATAATATGTAAATTGATTAATAAATAAACAATAACAACATGATATAACAACAAC